ATGCCGCTGTGTAACCACGATTGCTCCATCCACCCTTCTTGCTTCTCCCCCATTTTATTCTCAGCCATTACACGGCAAAACCCTACCATCACTGCTGCAACTTTCATTTTTCCGTGAACAAAGACCGCGACTGCACCGTGTGGCCTCGACGGCCAACGGATGCCTCCTGGTAAGGACACATCACTCCCCAAAGCACCCTTGGCTCCTGCAGCCCAGGACACCGTTGACTTAAAGGGTCATCCTCAAGGTCACTGAGATATAGACCATTTGCAAGTGCTACGACGGGTTAAGCTGCGCCTGCCAGCCCCGCTCGCCAGCCCGGTCAACGAAGCAATCTGCACCGACGCTGGGTTTCATCATCGTATCTAATGAGAGCTGCTCAGCCAGGAATAATCCCTTGCTCTGCAGGAAAGTTTCACTGGTTTTAAGGACTAGAAACTCCTTTTTGGATATATTTGTTCCAAGCGACTGTGTGGTGTTTAATGATGAAGTTAAATCCTTCCCATCAATACAAGCTCAATGCAGAAGACTGCCCAGCACAAGAGTTAACAGGACAACGATAAGACGCGTTTGAGTTTGCCCCGTAAGTAACATTTCTAAGCTCTTTTTTTGGATAGGCAATCCCCAAAACAGAAATACCTTGTCCTGGTGAAGGTTTCACAGAGCTATTAAGTGGTGGAACGGGATCAATTAGCCATGAGATGAAAAGTAAATGGCTGTAAAAACGCCTCCCCCTCCCAGCCCCCATTAACACCAGGAAACGAGCAGCCAGATGTAAATCAGCCCAATCATCAGCTACCGAGCCCATCAGTAATAGAAGTTTCACAGCAAGAGAATTTCTAAGCAGTATTAATATAATTAATGTAGTGTAACAGCAGGACCCAACACCATAATGCTGTGTAAAAAAATATCAAACACACTCCAACTCTTCCCTCTCTCAGCACTTCATGCAAGCCTTGATGGTCTCTAGCACAGCTCTTTGCTAGAAACGTGAACAGCCCACGGCAAAACTTTGCCTTGGTTTTATTCCCTGTATGTGTCCCTCGCCCCACAGTTTTGTCTGTGGCTTTAGTTGTACTCAAGGACCCCAAAAATGGACTTATATATGTCCCAGACGAAGTGAACAACAAGCAGGAACGGTAGACCAGGTAGAAAGACCTACAGGATGATCTGATGCGGACTAGGCTCTCAGATGAAGCCAACTCACAGCTCAGATGGACTCAAAACCATCCCTCCCTCCCCCAAAACCCGAATGCCAACCATCTCGACAAGCCCACGAGGTACTGGCACGCCAACATTACACATCACAAGGAGAACAGGGAAAAAAGTTTTTTCCTCCCAATCACAATATCCTTCTGCACCTTTTCACCACAGACTATCAAGTCCAACAGCTGAGCTCACATTCTCCAGACCAAGGATATTTCACTACACCAAAAATGCTGACGTTACAGCAATGAAAAACGAAGCCGCGATAGCCTGAAGACCAGAGCTCCTACACAAAAGACCACAACACTAGAGAGACCTTCAAACACCAAACATCACTTGAGAAACCTGAGAGCATAAAGACTTACCTTGAAGTCTGCCAACTGCTGGTTGATGGTTTCCACCTCTGTTCCCACCACCCACTGCAATGCCTCGTTCTCCTCTGCCGCGGTTGTCATGTGGGTCAGCTCCTTCAGCCTGCTGTAAAAGTCCTCAACACGAGACAGCGTCGTTTCTACCTGCTCCTGACGGTTCTTGCCTCTCTCGGTCAGTTTGCTGCACTGTTTATTCAGCGTCTCCAGTTCACGTTTCAGTCCTAATAAATCAGGGCTCCCTTCATCCTCCAGCATCTTCTTACATTCACTTTCAGAAGCTTCAATGTCAGACTTCAGCCTGTGGAGTTTGCCCAGGAAGGTGCGAACGTCCTCTGCTTGGGACTGAAGGCTGTCAGAGTCTCTCCCGATGGGGCCCATGCTGTCTAACTCATCATCAAGATCTGCCAGTTGAGAGAACATCTCCCTCACCCGATTATTGAATTGGCCAATCCCTTCGAGCTTGTTTTCCATGAGCGTACAGCAGTCATTTACTTTCTGCTTCACAGCTTTGAAGTCCTGCTGAGCCACCTCAGCTTGGCTTAAGAGCTGGGAACAGTCGGACCCATCTGGGGCATCTTCTACTAGACCTTGAGTGAAGTTTTTCAGATAATCCACTTGTGGCTCCAGGGCCTGCAGTACCTCCTGCTGTGCCCTGAGCTTCTCCAAATTCTTGTTGCTGCAGGCTTGCGGCCCTAGGGCATCATAGATCTCCAGCTGGTGCTTCGCCCCTTCCAGCTTCTTCTCAATGTTCTTGAAGCTCTCTTGAAACTCCTTGAGCCTCTGTGACATTTCTTCGATGGAGCCCGTCTTGGCTTGCAGCTCTTCTGTGATGGCATCCATCTTCTGATTGATCCCAGCCTTCTCATCCCGAATGTCATCCTCATCGGTTTGAGAAGCATCAATCAGGATGTCGGCAGCGCTGTTCAGCATCTCCAGCAAGGAGCGACGCTTCTCCACGTCGCTCAGCATAGCCTTTGATCTCAGAAGAGTTGCCTCCAGCTGCACCGGATCCAGAGTTACTTCCAGCTCTGACATCTTTGCCTTGCAGTCCTCCACCCAAGGGAGGAGGTCCTCCGTGTGCCGTTGGTACTTCTGAGCTTTCTGCAAACAGTCCTTGAGCTTAGAGTGTCTATCAGCAGCCTGTTTGCTGAGCTCTTCCCAGTGTGTTTTGAGGCTGACCAACTGGTTTTGCAGAGTGGTCTTCTCCTCCCCAGGCTGGACAGAAAGCAGCAAAGATTCTCCCTCGGCTACAATCATCTCGTAGGAGCCACTGTGTTGGTTGAGGCTCTTCTGGAACTCTTCTTGTTCCTGAATTTGGCTCTGTAGCCTCTCCAGTTTAGCAGAAATCGGTTGGCTCTGAGCTTGCTGGCACAGTTTGTCATCTAGCCAGGTCCTGAGTTCATCAAACATATGCTGGAACTGCTGGGAACTTGCAAGTGCAGTCTGCAGTCGGTTCATCCGGTCGGCTGAAATGGAAATAAGATTAGAACGCGACAATTAAGCTGAAATCAAATAAGCAAAGTGCAATTATTTAAAATCATCTCAGATGCACCAACTGTGTTTTGATTAACAGGAAGGAGCTTTCCATTGCATCACTAGCCTTTTTGCTCACTGATTCATGAATTTCTTAAGCAGTAACGGGCAATGGTAACGCAGTAGTCTCCGTTCTCCTGACTAGTCTCTAAATGCAACCTCTTAGAAACCAGAAGAGGCGTCCCAGGGTTAGAGGGTGGCCACTGGGTCTTCTCCATGCCCCAATCTGAATTTAGGAACCATTTTTTTTTTTCCCCAAGCTCAGCACATGCCCCACTGCTGCAAGCCAGGCAGGCTTGCTGAAGAGCCACAGCAGCGGGACTAAACACCTCTGCTCACTCTCCAGGCTCAGGTATGTCTGGAGTGTGAACTCTCCTGTGCTTAGTCCCACATAAAACACCCATGAAGCACCCTAAAAAATGAGAAATAGTGCTTCCCCTATTATTCCTAGAAACCCAGTGATGGGAGAGCCCTTTGGCAAAAAGCAGGGGTGGAGTTTGACATCCCAACACCTCTTAAGCAACTTCTCCGTGCTGTCTCACCTGCCAGGTCTTCCAGGCCTTTGAGAGGAAGCGCCACCGTCTCCAGACGTTTCCTTAACTCATCTTTGAGATACTGCTCCCCGATCAGGACAGAGAGGTCATCGCAGAGGGTCTGAGCCTCTGCGATCTCCTCTTCCAGCTGCTCCAGATCCGAGCGGATCTCACTGGTTTCCTCCAGCTGCTGTTTCACGGCATCGGGCTGCGTGCTGACGGCAGACTGGCTGCTCAGGCGCTGCCCAACTGCCTTCACCTTCTCGGAGAGGCCCTGGAGGAGCTCCTGGTACTGGGTACTCTTCACTATGGCTTGGTCTATTTGGCTGGAGCGGGAGTTGAGGCGTTCTGTTAGCTCAGACCATTTCTGATTAACCCCTTGGAGCTCTTCCCGCACCTGGTTAGTGGATGGAGAAACATCTCCAGGGCCAGTCAAGATGCTCTGAGCTGCCTGGTTGAGCTGCTCGTGCTGTTGTCTGCGAGCTTCAAATTCCTTCAGCATAAACTGGAAGAGAAATAACATAAAAATGTTTGCATAAAACTGACAGCTCCGCATACACACAGTCAAAACAAACCAGACCTCCAGGGGCTTTATCCAGCCCACGGCATCGGTAGGAACAAGCCCTGGGCTGGGACGGCAGTTGGGCTGGGAAGACCACGATTTACTGTGACCTTGGAACTAAAAAAAGTCGGGAGGGGTCTGCGGCCTCAGTACTTTGCTCTCTCTCTTATTTGTCCTACTGCTGTGTAACGTAACATAAACCAGTTAGATGAGAAGGAAATCTAATTATGTTAACTGGGGCGTTTTATTTTATGATGTGGCCGGTTACGGACATGTTAGGATTTGGAAGCAGGAGGTACGGAAAGGGCAGGCTGCCAGGCGGAGGGGCAGCATTAGCAAGTCCTGCAGAGCATCAGCACCGGTCTTGTTTAAAGCAATTTCACTCTCCAAGAGGGGCCAAGTGATTCACTGATGAGTCAATCCAGTGCGGGGAAGAGAGCTCGAGCGCTGCACCCGTTTCAAGTTATTCACAGTCGCTTGTGCTCAGCGGGGTTTGGAGGACTTGGGAGAAGAGCCATGAGGCCTCCCAACACTCGCTGCATGACAGAGCACTTGCAAGACAAATAACTCGGAGTGCAATCTTCCACCTCACATACTGGATGAGACACCCTCCCTCCTCGTCCTGAACCCACCGTGGAGACGCGTACGCAGCTCCCGGCCTCACCTGGACCTGCTGCTTCTGCGCGTTCAGCATGTTCGGGTCGATGGAGAGGGGTCCCAGCACGCTCATCATCAGCTCCTTCTCCATGAGCCAGGGGCGCAGCTGGGCTTCGGCAGCCTGGAAGCTGGCCAGCTGGTTCGCCGACTCCTCCAGCTTCTGCTGCCGCTCGGCCGTCGCCTGGCTGGCTCTTTCCCACCTGCAATCTGAAGCAGCGGCTGCGTTGGTGGTGGTCGTGCTCCCGGCCAGCCCACCCCTCCGTCGAGAAGGTTTTTTACCCTCCCCATGGTTTCCCCATGGGAAACCGCCTCAGCTTTTCAATAAAACTAGCGTGGCTCTATTCACTCTCCATCTAACAAGCTGTTACCCATTTCTAATGGCTACGTGGTCTTGAAGCTCATAGAAAAAAACCTTGCAAGCAGGATTTCTGTGCTCTAGCCACTACTGCCACAAGCTGGTCTGACCTTGGGGGAGCCATCTCACATCCCTGGCTCGACAAATGAGGATACTCTCATGTGTATCAGTCCTCACACAGCACATTCAGATCTCCTGGACGGAGAACTCCGTAAACGCGGTCCTGCTATTTCAAAGAAGAGAATCTCTGGGCTTCTTTTTAAACAGTCTTGTTTAGTCAACATTTAATTACCTAGGATAGCCTTACTAATGACTAGAATTTTACATCAAGCAGTGAAGCTTTTAATCAAAATAATCAACCCATGTCGCTAACACTTTTTTTTTTTCTTTCTTTCCTTTTTTTTTTATTAAAGAAGTAATTTAAGGAGGCAAGTCTTTAAAATATACATCCATCAGAGAGCTTTCATTAATCACGACAGCGCTCATCTCAGGAACACCTTGTACACCAGACAGCTTGGAGAGAAGTTCGCTATTTACTAAATTTTAATTAGAAGCGACTCTGCTCTGCCGTGACTTTGGAATCACCCTGCAATCCTGAACCACTGCTAACGCCATGTTTCAAGACCGAAGCCTCACGAAGCGCTTCAGGCACTTACTCAGGTCCTCCTGCATCTTCTTCCAGTTTGCTGCTTCTGGAGAATCTGGGTATTTCTCCAGCAAGCCAGAAAGTGCTTCCTTTACCTTCTGGATTTTCCCAGAATTCTGTTCCAATTCAGCCAGAAATGCCTGGAAAATAATCATTTGAACTTCTTCATATGTACGGCAAAAGAATGAAATCACCGAGTAGGAATGAAGCAGCAGCTACAAGCTGGAGTTGGACAATTTCTGTTCTTTGCTCTTTAATGAAATCACTTCGTTTTATTAGCAATATTGTGAGCTAACTTGGCTCCAAGAGCAGGGAAAGGCTGGAATTGCTTTCCCGGAGAAGTTGGAGTGACCCAGCAACAAGGGCTACAGACAAACTCCTGGCCCCCGAGCCAAATGCCTGAAAGCACCAGGTCTGAAAGCAAGGAGGGTCGAGCACGGCTGGGGAAAGCCCTTCTTTAACCCAGGGCAGATCCTCGCTGCTCATCCTCCTAGCCCTGCTGCAATAAAGCACATCCCCGAGATCCTTTGGGAGGAGGTCCTCAGATCCTCGTTTTTGTGCTCTGGAAGAGGAGTTACCTTGTTGTGCTCAGCCTGGGCTCTCATCGTCTCCGTCTTGGTGGGTGAGGAGGAGGCGTCCAGCTCTGACAGTGTTCGTTCCTTCGACTCCAGCCACTTCAGCATCGAGCTTGCCTCCTCCTGCACTTCTTGCATCTTCTCCAGCATAGCCGAGAGCTGCTGTTGGCGTTCCCGCAGCGCCGCGCCGAGGCCCTGGTACTGCTGGCTCACGTCCGCCACATCGCACTGGATCTCGGTCAGATCTGTTCCCAAAAAGCAGCCTGAGATGAGGACCGCTGCCTGCATTGCCCATCTTGACCTGGACTATCAGGAACTAATCTAGCCCTGGGCAGCCACAGCCGGCCAAGCAGGAGGAGCGAGAGGCCGCGCTGCTGTCCGTCTGTCTGCACAGCAACGTCAGATTATCCTCACCTCTCGTGCCAGAGGGGCCCTTCCCGTTGCACCACATATGCATGTTGACACTTTGCAAACAAAGTGAATGCCTTCATGTTTGTGAGACTGATGCAAGCTGAGCCCCCCTTTCGCAATGTCACTGCTAATACAGTGTTAAGTAAGTTGACACCAAAATATAAAGCCATTTTTATGCACCTATTATCTCGTTGAACCGGCGAACTAACAGCAGATAACGGGCAATAATTAAAATTGCTCTTCAAACTGAAGGGTTGGATGGGTTATAATCCCTTAGAACCAATAAATTTAATTGCAAGCTTTAAAACGATCTCCCATTTATCAGCTTTTGACACCACCTGATGGGGTGCCAGGGTGTTGTCACTCCCCAAAGCTGCCCCTCTCTGTCCTTCAGCCTGACCTACATCCTCCATCACCGCCTGCCCGTCCCGCGGCTCTGGCTACCGCGCAGCACGGCCGAGAATTCACAAGCCTATTTGCAGGCTCATTTCACTTGCGCCGGGATGCTGACGGTGTCACATTGTGGTTTATATTCTCACGGATGGAAATGCACAGACAAAAACGGACACGGAGACGGCGAGGCGACCTCGGCACGCGCGTGCCGGCACAGCGGTGACAGCAAGCTCACCTTTGCACGTGTGGTATCCGTTCACGCTGCCTACCGACCCTCCTGGAGCGGGCAGCGCAGCACCTGAGCAGAGGGGACGGAGACAGACAGAGGGACAAGACAGACGTGTTAGGAATACAGACAGCAAGCGATGAACGGCCCTCCACAACATGGACCACACCGGCCACCAAGCACAGATGCGGCGTCTCCACAGGCCCACCCGCCTGGCGCTGATGAACCCAGTGGCTCGGCGCCGAGCGATCGGCGTTCGTTCGATTTGGAGCCTGTTCATTTCTCCTCCTCCCGACCACCCGCACCCCCCCGCTTTCCTGGAGCTGCTCTTGCCTCGCTGGACCAGAAGCAGAAGAGCTGAAGCTGCCTGGAGCTGGGCACCTCTCCCAGCATCACCCAAGGTGGACGTGGCACCTGCATGGACCATAATACTGGGGGCCACTGGCCACCTCTCCACCCTGGAAAGCTGCTACCCCGAGCACGATTTTGTGAATTATGATATCAAGGGAGACTTCTGAATGCCTTCCCTGAAGAGATTAACTCCCCTGAATAGATTAACTCCCCCATATTCTCCTTTTCTCATGGGATGAAGCTATTTAAACCTGCCTTGGTGCAGAGACACGCTCTCTTTGCCAAGAGGCTCCACGCAGGATGCGTCAGCATCCCCTCCTTGGACACCAGGTATCACAGCTACGTCCGTAACCAAAGGGGGATTCATCAGAACCGTTATCGGGTCAGCCTCTCTCTTTCTAACCACGCATTTTAAAGCTTTCATGGATGTAAGGGGCCGCAGCTTCGCTCACCCCGCGTGGGTGACCTCGTGAGTCACCCACACCAAGCCTCTCCCCACCTCTCTTGGAGGTTTCCCACTGAACTGCTCATCAAGTGAACCCTAACAACCAGATCTCGACTGAATTCCCATAAATGCCCATCAATGAGGAGAGTCCAGAGACTTGTTCTCACGAGCTGGAAGACATCTTTTAGTTGGTTTCCAAATGAACCAGACATAATCTCATTGCTTCACAGACTTGAAGCCAAAAAGAAGACTAGTAAATCTCATCTGAATATTGCAGTCTTAAATTTCATCCAGATACGAAACCCAAATACTGGAGTTTGATCAAAACGCTTCGGTCCCCAGGAGGCTGAAGCACATCACCAAGAGAAAGCAGGAGCCGCCTCCACGAGCGCCCTGCGGGGCCGAGAGCCCGGACCCCCGCGCCGCGGCAGCCTGAAGATCCCATCCGAGCAGCGCTACGTGTCCCCGCGCCGGGCTCACGGCAAATGCAGGGTAAGTCAGGGTACGTCAGGGCTCGTTATGCTGCAGCAAATTAAGCCAAGCTGGTGGGCTCTGAGCGCTCGGCTGGTGCATTAACACAACAAGCGGCAGCAACTTGACCACGGGGCTGAGCCCCGCAATACTCAGAGCACCACAGGCCCTCTGAAGTTTGTTAAAAAGGGGAAATAACCCCATTTTTTGCTTGAGGCAGGCTCAGAGAAGACGCAACAAGAGCAAACAGAGCTCCGAGGAAGGAGGCATCGTCGGGAGAGCCGGGCTGCGACTCACCTGCCTTGGACGGGGTGTCAGGGGCCGTAATCTCCACGATCAGGTTCTCCAGGAGGGTCCCTCTGCGGCCGATCTCCTCCACCTGGGCCCCCTTCCCCTTCCACTCCTCCAGGAGATCCTGATCAAAAGCAAAGGCTGGGATCAGAGGGCTGCGCTTGCCCCGCCGCAGCCCTCCTTCCTCGCCCGTCAGCTCTGCGGTGACTCGGTGGCACCAGACACGGCACCCAGGGAACTGGCAAAGGTCGCACCAGCACACGGCAAGCAGACTGCACCGGGAAAGTGGGTGTCTTTACGTTTATTTTTGTCAGGGGGAATCAAAGAGTGAAAAGCTCTTCCCTAACTAGCGGGTCTGTCACAGGAAACTTTCTTCTCCCTCCTACTGTTTTGGGGACCTCCCTCCTCCTCTCGACACAACCCAGCCTCACGCGGGCCCAGTCCCCGCGGCTTTCGGCGGAGCCCGGCGGCGTGCCGGAGCCTGGCGGCGTGCCGTGGGGTGCGAGGGCTGTGGGTGACTCAGCAGACGCTGCTCTGCCTCTGAGTCAAACCCTTGGCGTATCCTGATGTAAAGCATGGCGGTGCTGGAGGGGAGCGGGGGCTCGGATGACGGGAGGTCACCTTCCATGTCTGGCAAGGGGAAACGCTCCATGAAAACGATTGCGCTGGGGTTTCCCACTCCCAAATCCCTGCCCCGAGCAGGCAGGGGGAAGGAAGGGAAACCAGGCAGCACTCAGAGGGACCTTCACACTGCTCCTTTCTCCACTAGCCAGGGACCATGGGATGCACACATACCAGGGGCTGCAGCCCACCAGCAAGTACAGGGGGAGCCCAGGATTCCTGAGACCATAAAACATCTCCCAGGACTCTGCTTCCTGGGATTTATTCCACGTTCCAGTGTTTCCACACCAGCTGCCAACTTTCCCAGTCTGGTTCTGGCTCCTGCTGCCCACCTGGATCTGCTGCCTGCGCTTGTGCAGCTCCTGGGTGCCCAGGGAGGTCTCGGCAGGCGGCATTTTGCCTTCGCTCTCCCTCAGCCACTTCCTCACAGCCCCGACCAGCTTCCGAAATTCATCCAGTTGCTCCTGGCAGGACGACGCATCCTTTTCTCTGCGAGTGAAAAGGTTTCAGAGAGTCAGAGCTCGTGCTTTGCCTTGCAATTACCCCTGCTTGAATGTAGCACAGTTGTGTCTCTAGGAGCCCTTCTTTTTATTATTATTATTAGATGTTGCTTAGGAACAGCGCACGCAGCACCAGCCAAAGCGGGGTGCACGCCGCAGCCAGCCCCTCACTGCTGCTGGCCCCCCAAACCGTGGCCGGTGGCACTTTCGGGGCCGCTCCGGCACCACCGCGGGACCACCGCTGCCGACCTGCGCCGGCTCTGCACCGCTCTCTTTGTCCTGGGGGGAGCAAAGATTTGGGGAAGACAGGGCTCATTCATGCCGTCCGGCTCCAGGCAGCTGCAGCCCAGGGAGGCCAGGCTCTGCCACCCCTCCTCCCTGGCCACAGCTCTCATTTATTCAGCCCGTCCCGGAGGAACAAGGCAGCCCCCGGACGGGAGCCACGGCCCCTCCGGCTCACCCTCACTGACCGCAGCTGCGAGCAGCCTGCGCAGGGCTGGCCGGAGGCAGTTCTCTGTGCGGTGCTGAATTTCTGGGGATTATTATGAGGTTCATCTGCTTTTCCCCATCACCTTCCCTGTATTCACCAGGGAGGCTGGAGACACAGCCTGGGAGGTGTGACCCCTCGGGGCCACAGGCGCGCTGCCCCTCCAATCCTGCTCACGCTGCCAGGGCTGATTCAAGCTCAAGCTGCTGCTACAACTCCCTTTTACCCCCACTTTAGGGGACTCTGGGGACAGCCTGCTCTGCTCTGTCACCTCCCGCAGAGCACGCCTGGGGCAGGCTCCCGATCCCCCGCCAGCATCCCGCTCCCCTCCGGCAAGATGCTCTGGGATGGAGCTGTGGCAGCCCACACGCCGGGAAATGCACGAACGCCAGCTCCTGCAGCACCAGGAATTTTTCACAACGCCCCCAGCCAAGGCTTTTTTTAAAGCGTCAGCTGGAGCGAGCTGCCTTACGTCTCCTGGTGTGGGAGGAGAGAGGCAGCAAGAGTTCGCTCGTGCCCCCCCCATGGAAAGGAGATCTCCACGGGGTCTTGCTCTGACCACGAAGCCATTCGCAAACTCACCTCTCCAGAGAGCAGCCGGGTCCCTGGGACTCACCTCTCTTTCGCCACCTTCTGCAGCTGCAGGAAGTCTTTCTTCAGGCTCTGCAGCTTCTCCTGCTGCTGGGAGGCGCCGGGGGCGAAGCCGCAGGAGCCCAGCTCTGCAGCCAGGTGCTCCAGGGCGGCCAGGTCCTCCTGGTGCCGCCTCATCTCCGAATTCAGTTCCTGCCAAGAGCAAAGGGCGATGCCGACTGTGCCCTCGCCAGCAGACTCGGGCAAAGGGGATGAACCAGACAGCCCCACGTCCTGGCAAGCCAGAGAGACCCCCCGCGGGCAGCGCCATGAATTGCACCAGCACCGAATGGGTGGGCACGGCTGGGTCCCACCTGCTCCCCCAGCTCCCGCTCAACAAATGCTTCAAGCAGCTGCGGGTGCAGGTCCCACCTTCCCCGATGCTGCTGTAAGGCCGTGCCGTGAATGGGATGGGGGGCCCTAGACCAAGCCAAATCAACCCCCCCACAGCACAAATGTCTGGTTTTATGCCAACTTAGAGCATTTCTGAGGCTGTGGCCAAACCACCTCCTGTAGCAGAGCACTTGTAGGAGGCCAGAGGGAGGAATCCCGCGCAGCCACGGCCGGCCACCGGGACCCACGGCCTCTCCGAGGGCTTTGTCACATCCTGCACTGCGCTTACTGCCAACACTCGGGCGTTTTGCTGTATTAACTCTGTGGAGTCTTTAATCGGTAAAACCTTGCTATATTTGGAGTGGCCCCTAAGAGCCTGGCTAGAGAGCCCTTCCGAAAAGCAGCCTGGCTCCAGGGAAATGCCATTCCCCTCTCTCACTGCTGGAAACAGCCTCAGCCGCTCCGGCTGCGCTCCTTTGCCCAGGCAAAGAGCCAGCACAGGTCCTGCGGATCCTGCTAGCCTGGGAGCGAACCAGGGGCTGTTTGCCCAGGAAGAAATCATTGCAAGACATCCCTGCCCTAGAAACCTGAGGCAGGTGGAGTCTTCTCCCCCTGCATCTCACCTGGATGTGCTGGGAGAAGTGAGCGATGTCCCGGTCTGGCTGGTTCCCAGATGCCAACATCCGCGCTCTGCTCTCCGTGAACTGCCGCAACTTCTCCGAGAGCTGCTCATACTGCTCGACCTTCGGCAGGAGGCCCTTCAGCGCGTCCTCCCTCTCCCGCTGCTGCTGGCAGAGCCTGCCGAAATGCTCCGTCACCTCTGCCAGCTTGCCCTGCAGGGCAGAGGCCGTGGGGCTGTCCGCTGCCTCCATGAACCGCGTCACCATCTCACGGGTGGCTTCCAGGCAGCTCTTCTGCCTGGCGATGTCCTGCTTCAGCTTCTGCGGTAAGCACACACAGAAAGGGATGCCATTTTAGGAAGGCTCTTGAGCAAAACAGAACTGGCATAAAGAGGCTGGGCCGCCCTTGGGAAAGAATAGTCGGGCAAGAATAGTTTTCTATCCCAGTTTTTCTTTCTTTTCTGACCTCCCCAACCTGCTCTGCCTTTTCCAGGTGCCTGATATCTAAGCCCTGCTCGTCAGTAGAAGAGAGACTTTCAACAGGTCTGTGTCCTGGCTTAAAGAAATTAAGTAAAGGTTCTGCTCATATCCCTTTCTAGGGTTTTTTTTGTGCTTTCAGAACACTGTAGCTAACCCCCCAGCAACTGCCAGCATGGTTCAGGTCCTGCAGACAGGCGTGTTTGAGGCGGGGGAGCTCAGGGACCAGCCTTACCACGTTTGTGGCCAGTGAGTCCTGGATGGAGGTGGAGGAGAGCACGGCCGGCTGCTCTCCCTCCAGGTTCTTCTCAATCTCAGCCACCGACTGGAGGAGGCTCTCCAGGCTCTCCTGGACGCTCTGGGACTGGGCAATGGATTTCTGCAGCAGGTCCGAGCGCTCGGCCATCTGCTGGGAGAGGCTCTGGAAGCGGCTCACGATGGCATCTGCGGAGTTCAGCACAAACGAGAATCAGTGGCAAAGAGCTTCTGGCCTGGTGCTCAGGTAGCAGCGAGTGCAACCTCTGGCTCCTGCCAAACCCCAGCCGATGAATCCCCATCCCCAAACTCAGCAGCGAGACAAGGGACCCAACGCAAACGGCCACACTGCATCTCAGCCCTCCCCTCGCACAAACACAAGCCCTGAAGATGCGTTGCTGTGCGCCTTTGCCCCATCTTCCCCCAAAAGCGGGAGATTTCTTCTTTCCTCCCTCCCTGGTTGGTTTTCACGCTCTCCCCAACCATCCCTGCTAATGCCGGTGGCTGTTTTGCTCCGTACCGGTTGTTTCCTGAATGTGCCCGTGGTCCGGGGCCGGCTCCCCTTGTACCTCCAGCAGGGACCGAGCCGCTTTCTGGAGCTTCTCCACCAGCACCTGATGCTCAGCGAGGTCTCCCTGCAGCTGCTGCTTTGACACAAGACAGGGCAAAGTCACCAGTGGGTCACACGCGAGAGACCTGCACCCGCGGGGAGCTCAGTGCTCCAGTTAAACCCTGCTGAGGGATCCTGTTCATTTAAATCACAAAATGGTTAAGAAAAAATAATAACGTAGGTTGGAAGGTCCAACCTCAAGCTGCAGGCAGAGCTGGTTCAGGGGGTCTGGGCTGTCTTGGTGCCCGGCCACCCTCACGGGGCAGGAATGTCTCCCCGCATCCCGCTGGGATGTCCCCTGCGGCAGCCTGTGACTGCAGCCCCTGGTCCTTGCTCTGAGCAGCTCTCAGAAGGGTCCGGCTCCACCTGATCTGCAGCACCGGGACCTCCTGAGCCTGCAGGTACGTCTTTGCACTCAACCAGCAAAAAACCCAAAGGGATCGAGTCTCTTCCCTGCTCCTGACTGCACTGCGGCTGCTCAGGGCAGCGGCCAAAGACCCGTACAGGCTCCAACGCTCCCCCAGGAGACCACCCAAGCACCCCGCACCTTAGCGCTGGTGAGCTGCTTTTGCAGAATGGCCGGATCTGAAGAAACTGTCTCCGAGAGCAGTTTCCCAACGGCAGCTTCGCTCTCCTGCAGCCATGTCCTGAGAGACTCCGCCACCTCCTGGAACTGCTGGTAGTGATCCAGCAAGGTGTTCAGGTGGGAGCTGAGCTTGGTGCACTGCAAAGGAGCAACAAGATACAACGGGAGGATGCACACAAGTACAGACCAACCTGGGCGCTGCTGGAAAACGCACAGAAATCATCAGGAAAGACAAAAAACAATAGAAAACAATCTTCCTGTATGTGTTAAAGGAATTACAGGAGACAACATGCAGACCAACACCAACACAGAGGGTGTTACTCCTGCCCAAGCCCTGAAGAAGACAACCCTTGACCTACAATCTACATATGTGCTAGAAGTCCAGCCAGGTACTCTTGAGTTACACATCTCTCTGCCATCGCTGCTCATTCAACAGCACAGAAGGAAAATGGCACCCAGGGTTTAACTCCCAGCCTTGCAAAGCCCTTCCTGTACCTTGGAGTGCAGCGTGGTGTATCGCTGCGTTGCATCCTCCAGCTTGCTCTTGACCACGCTCCCGGACGTCAGCAGCTGGGACCCCGCGTCCCCAGCAGCTCCCTCCGCATCCAGCACCTTCTGCCCTGACATGGTAACAAACCGCAGGTCGCCTTTGTGGGAGATGACGTCTTCTGAGAAGCTCCCCTGTCGCAGGAGCAGCTGCCGGAGGGCCGTGGGGTCGCTGTCCCCCTTGTACATCCCCTCCAGATCCTGCTCCGCTTGCTTCAGCCAAGCCTCAAACTCCCCGTGATCCCGCAAGAACTTCTGCAGCTCGTCCCGCAGGACTTGCACTTGCTTCAGCCGCGTTTCCGACTGCGAGAGGGAAGCTGCATACTGGTCCTTCAGCTCTGCCAGCTGGCCCTGGAGCTGGTCCCGTTCCTCCCCAGCCAGGCTGTGGCCATGCTTGTCCAGGAAAGCCTGCGCCGACTGCGTGGCCAGGATGATGTCCTGCTGCTGGGACAGCAGCTCCTGGTGCTGGGCCTGAAAGATGCCGGAGAGCAAAGGTGATGCTTGCGACCGAGGGTCTTTGCCCACCAGCACCCGGCGGGTGCAGCGAGGCCACGCGCGCAACTGAGCCTCCGCACCCTCCTACAGCCCCGGCAAGGGGGGGGAACGCCCCAAGGCTGGGATACAGGCAGGGGCTCTGCCCACCGGAGAGTGACCCCTCCTCTGACCACAATGGGCACCTCTCGTTACCCTGACTGCACCGTGCCGTGGCACCACCCACCAACACAGGGCGCACGTCCCCCAGGAAGCCAGGCAGGGACTTCCCAAGTCTCCCATATGGAAAATCACCCTGATCACGTGTTTCAGAGGCCAGACCCATCTGACGCCCCGTCCTGCTCCCAGCCGCATCAGCAGCGAGAGGCAGGGGCAGTGCGTCGGGCAGAAAGCTTTGAGAGGGACGAGGTGTGGGTCCTGACCTTCAGCCTCTTGTACTCCTCATCCAGGCTCTCGGCAGCGCTGTCTGCTCCCACGACACGGCTGTCGGGGACGTCCCGAGTGCCCGTCCCCGCTCGCGCCCCTGCCGCTGGCTCGATGGGGTGCGGTCTGTACTCCAGGAGCCCTCCCTTCTGCTCCAGCGATGCCACCCACTTCAAAAGGGAATCGATCTTATTGCTGTTCTCCTCCAGCTCTTTGGCAGCTTTCACCTGAAAGCACAAAGGCTCCAGATAAGAATGACCGGTTTTATGCATGATCAGCAAACGGCTGCATGGGGGAGGGAGACAAAAATCAACAGAAGGAAAAACCCCCAACAGTTTTCCAGCCACAGCAAACACCTGAGACACTCACAGCCTTCCAAAACACTGCGGCTCTCTGAAAGGGTGGAAGGTGCAAAGAAGCTGTGAATAAACTCAGCCTCTCTGCTACGCTGCATCTCTCGCCCTGGTACAACCCAGAGTCCCCCCACCAAGGGCTGCGACTCCTCGCATGCAGGTGCCAGCATCGCTTTCGCCGCCAGCGCGTGGAGGTGCCCGATGCTCCCGCTCCCCTTACAGGTCACCCAACGGCAGAGCAAGGTGCCTTTTACTCCCCCATTCCCTCCGCAACCAGCTCATCCGTGGCTGCAGCTCTCAAGACATTTCATGAGAGAAACGCCTGGGGAGCACCTCGCCTGGGGGGACAGACAGGAGGGAACAGCAAATTGCTTTATGCCACATCACCCAGATGAACACCAGGACCCCACATGAATCTGATGGCACCGACTGGACCTCGTTGTCCACCTCAAGCAGAGCCTGGGGCCTACGGCTCTTTGCACGTTACCTTTTCAGTCTCCTGCTGCACTGCAGCAGTCACAGCGCTCTCCAGCTCCTTCTGGGCCACCTCCGTCCTCTCCTGCAGGGACCGGTACTGCTCCTTGGCACGCTGGAGCTTCTCTTGCAGGGCTGCCAGCTCCCCGGGCTCCATCTTTGCCTTGTTCTCCTCCAAAAACTCCTCTGTGCTTTTCAGGACGCTGGCAAAGGAGGCGGCTCGGGTGTGCATGTTCCTCTGCAGCTCCTAGGCAGACGATGCCGTAAGGCTCCGTGCGCTCCTGAGGCAGCACCGAGCCCCTCCCCCTCCCGACCTCCATTTTTAAAGCACTGACCTTAACATCGCTTTGCTTCTGCTGCAAGGCGGACAGGTCCCCTTCGCTGGCCACTCTCTGCTGCTCTGCCAGCGTGTCCTCTGCCTGGTGCAGCCAGCGGCTCAGCTCAGCCAGGCTCTGCGCCCGGGCTGCCTGCTGCTCCTGCAGCGTCTGCGGGCAGAGGGAAGGGGAGAGGGGACATTAGTGCCTGCGCTGCACCTCCGGTCACGCACACTGCTGAAAGGCAAGGCGAGAGGTTACAGCTGGAGCATCTCCTGAAGATGAGGATGCAGCACAGAAAACGGCTTTTGCAGCTCTCCACGTGCTCCCGCTCCCTCTCCGGCTCACACGCTGCAGGAACGGGGCTGAGGTGCCGAGTCCCTGCCGAGCAGGAGCGGCTCGCCGCACGTTTGCCACCATTCGAGCGGGTTTCTCTCAATCTGCTCTTTGAGAAGCCCGTTCAGCTCCACGCGGAGCTACGCTCCAGGTCACGCGCTCCTCTCTTGGGAGAGCTCAACCAGAAGTTTCTGCGCCTTTTCCATTCAACCTTACAAACATGAAAACTGCAGCAGAAACTCATCTAATGAGAGGTAACAACAACCTGAGGTCAGGTAGCACCACTGTGGTCCCCCAAACAACCTAAGTAGGCTGTTTTTTTTGATCCTGGGGTTGGAGAGGGAGCCCGGGAGAGAGAAAACGTTTCTGTAGCTGATCCAGCTCCTCCGTTTTGCTGCCAGAGCACAATACAGAAGCGCCTGTTTGAGCAATTGAGCATGATGTGACCTGAGAGTCCCTGCAACGTTCCTGTTCCCCTTTCCCAGGGGAGATAACGGTTTTTGAGTTTCACTGGGCATTTCAGCAAGGTGATGTACAAACTTGTGCAAAACACTGTGCTTGTTTCTCCCAGCCATAAGATAAACAACAGAAGCAAATTGAAAGAGCCTTCTTAAGAGCTCTTCAGCTGCAAAGCGAGTTCTTCCTGGGTTAGGATGGGCGCACACTCAATCTGAAAAAGCAAAGCAAACTGGTTAATATACACACACACTCCAGAGAGGACAGGCAAGAGTCACAGAGAGCAACTGTTAATAAAAACCACATTAATTCTGTCTTGAACAAGAGGATCCATGCAGTGATGGGTGCTGCAGCAACGCAGCAGAGACTGGAGGACTTGCTTTCGCAGCCGCCTGCTGCCTTGATACATCATCGGCTGTTTCTCTGGGACAGCGATACCCACTTGTGCAGTGGAAATAAGACATTAAAGCTGCCAGGTGTCTGTGGTGGCCCCTCTGCACAGGAATTTTCTGGTGGGGTTTATTCCACCCAGCCCAAAGCAGCTCGGTGCCTAGCAGAGGACTGCCCGGCTGTGCTACCCAGACCTCGGCAGGCCTCCATCTCTTGGGAGGAAAGCCACTTTTCGCCCGGGAGTTACAGGGTAGGAAGAAGACAGACTTTAGAGGAAGCTCATGATGTGCAATGAAAAGTCATAAACTGTGAGTGGCATGCATGTGAAATCCCAAATACGAGGTGTCTCAGCGCACGTTCTCGTGGCTGGGAAGCGTTTCAGCGAGCAAACTGCAGCCGGGAAGCAGATGTCTCACAACCTTCACCTGATCCGTCTGCTCCGCTTGCTGGAGACAGACCTGCAGGACCTCCACCCGAGCCGTCACGCGCTCCGACAGGTCCCGGAAAGCCTTCTGCAGCTCATTGAGCAGCCTCAGCAGCTGCCTGCTCTGCTGCGGGGTCAAGTCCTGGGCGTGCTCCGAGATAAGGAACTGGATGTTGAAGGCAGTGGCGTCAAGCTGAGACTTGTTGTCAGCGAGGGGCTCTTTCAGCTCCTGAACGGGAGAGAAAAGACCCGTCAAGGCAAAACGGCTCTGCAGCCAGCGCCTTCCTGCACTGCCGGCTTCAGAAGGGACACGCGGAGAGGCAGCAGTACGCACCCAAAACAAGTGCGTTGTCACCAGAACGATATATTCCAGAAACCCCAAACGCTCCTAAAAGCACACTCGGCATCGAGGTGACAGCATCTCACCGCAGCAATTTTCTAACGTGCCTCTGCACCAGGCCTCCAGCACCTCGCCAAGAGGTCGCTTGGACCGCGCGCGCAGGGCCGCCCTTGGCTCTGAAGATGACCCCGACCTGGAGCTGCCACCAGCTCCATCCAGTCCATGGTGACTCTGTGGGCCACCATCGGCTCTCAAAGCCTTCGATCCCCTGATTTCAACGCCAAGGCGCCACCAGCAAACAGGAGATGCTGAACTGACCAAACCTTGAAAGCTGTCGCTAAAAGATGAATAAATGTGGAGGGGAGCCTGGGCTCCTCGGACAGTCGAAGGGGAGCAGGGCAGGCGGGATGGAGGAGGCTCTCAGAACCCCCACGGAGGAGGCAGCTCTCTTCTCGACAGCCTGACGGGAATCCCTCCGGTCTCTCAGCCCCCACCACACACCTGCATTGGAGCATGTTCCCCAGCTGGCCAAAGCAGATGGTTTGTGTATTGTGGAAACAAATGACTTTGGAGCAAATACAATATTGTTGCTCCTCTTGCAACAAAGGATAAGGGCAAACCCTTGGTAGGCTCCAGGAGGGAAGCAGGATTAAAAGCTTCTCCTCCGCGCAGGGGACAGCAACTTCATCAGCCAGAAGGATTAGGGGCATTGCCATGGTTACCTTGTAGCGCTGGAGGCAGCGACTCAAGCTGTTCGCATCAGTCGCGTGGTGATAGTCGCTGCTGTCCAGCGACTCCGCGGTGCCAGAGACCCAGCTCAGCAGCTCCTGGAGTTTGTCCTGGAGACTCTCGTGATGTGCCAGGATTTTAGCCTTAAAAACAGAAATGCATCATTTAAAGAAGGAGCAGAGCGCTCCGGGGAAGGAGCGTTGGGATGCTCGGGGGGCAGCAGGCAGTGGGGACAGTTGCCAGCTCTACCTTTTCGGTTTCTGCTGCCCCGCGAAGGTTTTGCAGCCGGGACTCCAGGACATCACTCGCAGAGCTCAGAGACTTCTGGAGGTTCTTGGCATCCTTCTCCAAAGCCTTCAGTAATTGCTCAGGGACTTCTTCGGGGGGGTTGGCCACAATCCACTGCACGGCATCCAACTCCTGATTCACTGGGAAACTCAGCTCCTGCAGCTCAGCGCCCAGGGCCTGAGGCAAGACAGCATCGTTATGTCTAAGATACGGTGACTTCATCATCCCGCTGCCAACACTGAGGAAAGGTTTTGGAGACCCAGCTCCAAACACTGCGTCTATCTCCTAGAAAGATTCATTACCATCCTCCAGCCCCGCTCAGCTGCCAGCACTCCCCTGTCTTTCTGCAGGCTGTAAAATTCATTTCAGCCACGCTTAGGTTATCGTCTAAGCAGGGAGGAGAAGGTGAGCCAGAGGCAGTGCCAGAGCGGGGTTTTGGACAGGGTTTGCATATAAATGCCTGTTAAACCTGAGACTAACCTCCCCGGCTGGCTCCCAGAAGCAGGGAGGAGGTGTAAGGACGGCGGATGAAGCTGGGGAGAGGAGGGATGAGCTCTGTCCTGCCTAACGCCGGCCAAGCCTGGCCCAGCCTCGCTTACCTCCGCCTGCTGCAGCAGGTCGTGCAGGGCTGCCAAATTCTGCTCTGCTGGCTGCACCCGTTTGATTCTCATCTCGATATCTCGGAGCATGGAGAGATAAGATATCAGCTTCTCATCGTGCTCCAGACACATCTTCTTGCTGAACATAATCTACAGAATCAAACAGTAAAACCAAACCTCAGATTTAGACAGAAAACAAAGGATTATATATTCTTCTTTTTTTTTTTCCAAAGAAGAAATCTGTTAATAACATTCCGTTTCAGGGTCTTTCCACTCGCTAGCCTTATCTACAAGATTTACTACAGGACAAATAAAACACATGGCTCTTTTTCCAACATAAGCTTATAAATGGCAAGAGATCTCTGGTGTTACAGTAAAAGTGCCAAAAAAGAGCACTACTTATTAGTCATTTATAAGTAATGCTCTAGTAAAAAGAAGCCACAACTAAGCCTCGAGTGTTTTCAGTCATACGTCACTGGGTCCTTTGCCAAATCCATTGCAGCTGATACTGCAACATCAAGCTCAAACATCCACTCCTCTTGTTCTGGCCGTCCTCTCCCCTGAGGACCTTGGACAGATTTAACATCAAACACGCACAAATAGCTCATAAAAAAAAAGTCAAAATAGCAAAAAGCATCAATTTACCTGGGCTGGTCTCGTGGATTCCCTCGAGGTTTCCAGCAGCTCCCCCTCCACTATCACGGGTAAGAGCAAGCCCCGATCGCCAGGACCCGCCTGCCTGGTCCTCTCCTGCGGCGTTTCTCCTTGGGATTTTGGGGGAACAGGGGCACCTCCTTGGCCTGTGCTGATCTCCACTCTTTGCTCTTGCCGTGTCTCTTCTCCAAGCTCAAGGACTGCAGAGGTTTCTTGAACTTCTCTGGGTTCCTCTCTGATAATTAATTCATCGGGCAGCTCGCCTGCTGCAGGGGCTGCACTGGACACATCACTGGTGGTTTCCACCTTGGTGTTTTCCTGGGCCATGCTGTCCTCTAGGCTCAATGCCACCGACGAATCGTGACCATTTCTGATCCCACCTTTCATCACCTCTCGAGCTTCCCCTTTCAACACCTGACCCCCAGCGAGGTTTTCTTTATCTTTCTCAGAAATTGTTTTCTTTTCTTTTTCATCCCTGCTGCTCCCCATGTGCTTGGCTGCGTCTCTTGCCAACCCAGCAGTAATCTTGGTGGTGGTTTCAGGTTTTGGTTCTGGCGTGCTTGAGACGAAGTCCTCCTCCTCCTCCTCCTTCTTCCCTGGAATTTCTTTGGAAATCAGGAAAGGAAGGGACTGCTTTTCTGCAGAAGATCTCTCCAGCTGAGCGCTGCCTCCTGGGATACCAGTCTGCTTTGCTTTCTTTTTCTTGCTTTTCTGTTTTTGGGTAGGTTTTAGCTCAGTTTCACTTGTTTTCTCTTGATCAACTGGACCTTCTGCACCCAATCTCAGGGTTTCTCCTTTGATGTGCTTGACAGTTTTCTTAGCTGCAAGCTCGTCTCCTGCAGGCTTCGTGGGGACGCCAATCTCAGGGGGTTCTCCTGACTCTGTAGGACCCATCTCTCCCTTCCCTCGACCCACCGTACCAGATTCTCTCAGGGCTGCTGGTGTTACCCCATCC